AGACCACGTGTAGCGTATGGGAGTCATCTCAGAGACAGAAGAAAGGTAGATCAAAAGCATCTGCAATTTAAAATGCTCCCAAATCAATAGGCAAGCTTTGGAGAAATGGCTACATATTTTTAAGACTCTACCAGTTAATAGCACCTTTAAAGAACTCAGGGAGACTATGACATACTCTGAAGTCAGACCCTATCAAGTCACCTTCAAGATATCTTCAGGCATCTTTAAAACATCACACAACTACCGAAAGAGAAAAACCTAAGGAGCTCACAAAGAGCAAAATAATAGATCAAGAGAGTGGGCTTGATGTTTACTCTGTCTAGTCTTTAAGAAGTGCAAAATGATAGAAATATTTTGGCCCCAGAAAGTCCCAAGCTTAAGCCTTGCAAATAAAATCTGAGTAGCAGATTTTTTAATGACAGAGAACTGTTGTAGGTGAGACAAGAGTGCCCTGAATATCATGGCGGGGGGAAGCGGGGGGTGATGTGGGGCACAAAAAACTAGCCATGAGGATAGACTGAGAGGGTTCCATCCACACTGGGGAATGTGCAATCAGCTCATCCCTCCTTTGCTTTTATTCCAAACATAGATGAGAGACACTGCTGTGGCAGGTTTGTTCATAAGCTCCCATATATCATAGCCTAGTACTGCCAACTAATTCCCCAAAAACTGCTTCATCTCCCATCACACCCAAACCCCAGTCACACGGGACCGTCAGCCCAAGTGAGTGGGCTACCACCTGGGGCCAGATGCACACTGTGTGATGCCTTTTCATGCTCGACGCACACTGCTGGCCCCAGATTTGAGGACAGACTGAGGAGAAGACCGAAAAGCAGACCTTTTTCTCAGATCAGGAGAGGGGAGTTCCTAGGTGCTGAAGGATGAGATGAAGGAAGGAAAAGGGAATGCCTAAGTTTACTTAAGCCTTGCAAATAAAATCTGAGTAGCAGATTTTTTAATGACAGAGAACTGTTGTAGGTGAGACAAGATTGACAGACCACTGGTGAGACATGGCGGTCAAGAGCTCAGACTGAAGACAGACTCCTCTGGATTTGAATCTGTGATGTGTAGTCTCTAAGATCTGTGACCTGAAACCTAGCTCCAGCTTTCTGTACCACAGCCCCTCATCTGCAAAATGGTGGTAATAATAGAACCTACCTCAAAGTTGTTTTTTCTTAATTTTTTATTTTTATAGATTTAGGAGGTATAAATACAGATTTCTCCCTCCCTCCCTCCCTCCTTCCTTGCTCCCTCCTTCCCTCCCTCTCTTTTTCTTTTCTCTCTCTCCCTTCCTCCTTTCTATTCTCCCTCCCTCCCCCTCACTCTTCCTCCCTCCCTTTTCTTCTCTTTCTCTCTTTTGCTCGCTCGCGCTCTCTCTCTCTCTCTCTCTCTCTCTCTCTCTCACTCACTCGCTTTCTTGATTTCTCGCTTTCTTTCTGTTGCTCTGTTACCCAGGCTGGAGTGCAGTGGTGCGATGTCAGCCCACTGCAACCTCTGCCTTCTGGGTTCAACCAATTCTCCTTGCCTCAGCTTCTGGAGCATCTGAGACTACAGGCACACACCACCGCATCCAGCTAATTTTTGTATTTTTAGTAGAGACAAGGTTTTGCCAGCTGGCCATGTTGGTCTCAAACTCCTTACCTCAGGTGACCCACCTGCCTCAGCACCCCAAAGTGCTGAGATTACAAGCATGAGCCACCGCACCCAGCCAAGTGCAGATTTCTTAGATGCATACATTCCATGGTGGTAAAGTCTGGCTATTCAGACCCATCACCCAAATAATGAACATTGTACTCAACAGGTAATTTTTTGAGCCCCAGCCCCTCTCATCTCTCACATTTTGGAGTCTCTTGTGTCTATTATTCTGTTCTGTGTACCCATGTGTACCCATTGTTTAGCTCCCACTTATGAGAAGCGGTATTTGACTTTCTGGGTCTCAGTTATTTCACTTAGGACAGTGGCCTCCAGTTCCATCCACGTGGCTGCAAAAGACATGATTTTGTTCTTTTATGGCTAAGTAGTATTCCATGATACATGCATATTTTCTTTATCCAGTCCTCTAGTGGTGGACACTTAGGTTAATTCCACAACCTTTGCAGATCCTTGCAGTGTTGCTTTCCTGGCCAGAAATCTCTGTGGCCAGTGGTGCCTATGCCCAACTTTTGCTCAAGTCTATTCAGCTTGTTCCACCCGCTCAGCCTGGCAGCCTGCACTCAACTCACACTACTGGCCTGGGCCAGGGGCAAGTCAGGAATGGAGCAGTGAGGGGTGTGTGGGGGAGAGAGCATGGAGTCCGGCCACTGTGCACAGGCTGCTGGCTGCTGCAGTGGGGTAGACAGCTCCAGGTTTGCTGCGAGGTTGCAGCTGTACCAAGTGCACTGCAAACAGCCATGCTGGTTGACACTGAGGAGTGCAATGCCACCTGAAAGCTCAGAGATGCCAGGAACTGCAGGGTCCCAAAGAAGAAGCCACAGCCCTGGCTCAGGGAGTTCCCAGGTCTGGGATCCCCAAAGAGCCTCAGCTCTTCTCTCCCTTTCTTCTCCTGAAATATGGTGATCAAGGGGAATGTTTGAGCCCTGTTTGTGTTACAGCTCTTCTAGCCTTGCCATTCAGCTGGTCTCAAGTTCTTGTCCTGCAACCAGGAAGAATGAGGCATGCAGAGAAGTGGAGGGTGAGCAAGATTAGGAGGAGCTTTATTGAGCAGTAGAACAGCTCAGAAACCGACTGTGGGTATCTTCTTTCTGCAGCCAGGGTATCCTGACAAATGTTCAGCCCTCAGCCGAGAGTAGGAGGCTCCTCTCTGCTGGCAAGTCTTCCCATCATCTCTGCAGCTCTTAGCAGAGAAGAGGCCCTGGTGTGGGTTGCTTCTCTCTACAGGCAGGTCATCTCTGGAGTGGGAAGCTCCTCTCTGCTGCTGGTTGTCCCAACATTCTCCAGCTATCAGCAGAAAGGGTAGCTCCTCTCTGTAGCTGGTTGACCTGTCATCTGCCTTGCTCTGGCTGAGCCTGGAGCTTTTATGGGCCACAGTTGGGGGAAGTGCATCCTGATCAGTCCATGGCAGCCATGGGCAGGCCCAGGAAAAAGCACCATGAGTTGCTCCTTTGGTCTGCAGGACTGGCAGCCTGGCCCCCAGACTTCAGGCCTTCCCCAGCTTGAAGGAGGGGTTTCAATGGGGACCTTTCCCCTTCCACCCAGGAGCCTATCTCCTGCTGCCATCCATGGTGCCCAGGCTGCCTGCACCAACAGCACCTATAGGCCAGTGCCAAGCTTCCATCAGCACCCTCTAAGCTTCCCCTCCTGTGTTCCTTGATACCCAAAGCCCAGAGGGTGCTGAGGTGGCAGGGAGCTGGCATGTCAGCACTGCCCCAAGTATGCACACACCCAGCCAGGCTGTGACAGTGCCCAGGCTTGGTCCCAACCCTGCTTTGAGATTGGAGCAGGTCTCAATGAGCAGGGAAAGGCCAGGAAGCAGAAGCAGACACCCCCAGCCTGTGCAGATGGAGGTAGGGCAGGTGGGTCTCCTGGGCCCCTGAGGATGCAGACTGCAGAGACCCAGGAGGGCAAGGCTCCTGCCTGCTCCAAGGAGCAGAAGGCCCAACCCACATCCCCACTGCAACCAGGGTCTTGGCAGCGGCCACTCTAGATAGACCACTGCTGCCATTAAGTGTTGTGAACAATGCTGCAATAAACATCCAAGAACAGCTAGGTGACTTTTTGGGGTAATGCCTTCTTTCCTTTTGGGTATATACCCAGCAGTTGGGTTGCTATCTTGAATAGTAGTTCTATTTTTAGTTCTTTGAAAGTTGTTTTGAGAATTAAATGAGACATTGTCCCTGAAGAGAACAGCACGGAGCATAGCACTTAGATGTTCAGTCATTGTTGTTAGTACAATAATTTCATTATGTGGAGAGGATTCTTTCTTAAAAATTTCCCAGTCCTTCCTGATCTAAATCTTCCTTCGTGGTGGTTATTCTGGTTTTGCATAGTTTTAATGTATAAGCTTAGGGACTCCTCCAGGAGGTGGAAGGCCAGAGACTCTTCTTCCTTGGCAGAGGTCTCCTTTCTGTGCCGTCCTCCACCAAACATCCTCTCCAAGCTTTTGGCTGGAAATTCCAAGTTCAAAATTGAAGAGTAAAAGAAGATATTGCTCCCATTTGAAATGCATGAAGATGAATTGCTAATTCACTTTGAGGAAATAAGGCAAAGTATACTTAGTGATTCCTTAGAAAACAAAGACTGTGCTAGGCTAGTGAGGAGAAGTAGATGTTCTCCTGTAGGAGTGGGAATAGAAAATGGGGGAGTGGGCAATGAGATACAGAATACAGGGCTACCAGACTGCAGGGAAGACAATGCAGCTATGGCTCTGCATCAGTGCTCATCCACTGGGTGACACCTTCCAGAACTTTGACACTCGATGTGACCTCCACTCCATAGACTACCTGCCTGCCTGGCCCCCTGGACTCTAAGTGTGGGGGCTCTCCAAATCCTAACCTTGAAGAAAAACACCACTGAGAGCTCTGGGCATTAAACTGCCAAGGGCTACATTTAGACCTTAATTCCTGGCACTGGGTTCATGGAAGTTCCAAAACTAAAGTCTCACAAAATCCCACTGATATGGGATTAAACCCTTAAGTGGGAATATTTGACTATTGTTTTTCTCAGAGAGAAATTTTAGAAATACAACAGGAAAGCAGATGAACACATAGATGGCCAAAAAAATGGAAAACGTGCCAACAATGTCTATGTACTTCACATATTTAATCTTCATAAAACACTAAAGGCAATATTGCTTTCTAAATTTTACAGACAAGAAACTGAGGCTCAGCGAGGAGTCAAACCCAACCCCCCAAAGCCTATTCTACCCAGCACTTTTTACCACATCCACTTGCCTCTCAATTATATTCCTGAAAACTGGGCATTCTTATCATTTCTAGCATTTTATGACCTTGTTCTCACTTATAAAGTAGGGAGATTAGAATAAATCATCTCAAAGTCACTTCTCAGCTCTGTAATTTATTAAAAGAAAGGATCTTCCTACAAGGCAGAGACCTGAGGATAACAGGATTCTTTTAAAGTTTGGAAACACCCTGTCCCCTCACTTGGGAGGGAGACAAAGCAGGAATCCATGGGGGAGCTGGTCGTGGGCTAAGAAACCAGGCAAGTGTGAATTCTAATCCTGGTGCTGACATTGACTTCCTCTTAATCCTCAGAGTCACTTTGTTTCTGAGTTTCCATCTATGCAACAAGATTAATAGGACTCATCAATCTCCCAGGAGGGTGTTCACGTCTGCTCAGCATTTGTAAGGAGCTAAAGTCTCACTTCTGAGAGCTTGTGGCAGTTTTACATAAGGGTACCCTAAGAAACAAAAATCATGAATGCTCTGATTCAGGTTATTGAAAACTGCATTAAAAATAATAGTAGTATGTGTTCCCAAAAATCTTCTCAATGATCTCCAATATAAATTCATTTTGAAAATCAACAGTTTATTATTTGTTCAGATAATAAGAGGAAAACATATGTAGCTAAAGTCCAACTGATCAGAAGGCACATAGTAATAAAGTTTCTAGAATAAAATCAGACAATTTGGAATTCCACAACCTCAGAAATGCAACGTAGTCTCTTTTTTGTTTAAATGTAATCTTTACCAATAGAATGATAGATTAAATTTGAACACAGGCTATTCTCATTCAAATGGTCAGAATTTTTTATCCTGATAAATGATCAGAATTTTTTTTTACCCTGAAGAAACATTCTGGAATAAATAGAATCATCTAGAAGTTGCAAATTTGCTCACATTTTGAACGAATGGAAATAGCCAAACGCAGCAGAAGATCTCCAGGTCTTATACTGTCTGAGGTTATATAATCTGCCAGGTAAGCTTCATGTTTACATGCCTTTTGGTAAATGATTTGTATTTATGTGTCTGGACATATGCACACATGCCACATACATACATTTTCAAATACACACACACACACACACATATATGTGTATGTATTTAATGTGTGTGTATATTTAGATACAAAATGTGCTCCCAGATCATGCAGCTTTAAGCATAAGATTATTTTTCTGGCCTACTGTGATGAGGTGCCTTGGAGAGGCAGGGAAGGAAGTGTGTCTGCCAGCTTTGTCTCTGCATCTGTATTTCCTCCATCTTCTGCATAACTGGAAGAGAAATTTCCTGACATTGCTCTCGTACCTTATTATCACTTCTACACTCCCCTTGAAAAGCAGTGAGACCTGCTTTTATTTTGTGTACGTCTTCCACATGATTTTTTCTTTCATGCTTAACAATTTCCAACTGCCTTTCTCAGACTGTGATATATCAGGGACTTCTTTTTCCCACTCTGGACTTCATTATGACATCACAGTAGCTATACAAATCACAGAGTGAAGCAAACAAAAGAATTTTTTTCATTTTCTCTTTCATTCAATAAGGCTGCATTTTCGGTCCTACCACCTTTTGACCTGTGTCCTAATGGTGTTGGTCACCCAAGGGCAGAAGTTCAGCCATAGGTGAAGTCTGTGTGTGTTTATGTTGAGGAGAATCTGTTTGTATTCACTTCCTGTTGGCTGTGCTTGCACAGTGCAGTTGCCTTCCTGTAGCCCTGATATCCTGCCTGCTGAGTGAGCTCCATCTCCTGAAAGGTTAAAGACAGGTTGTTTACTCCTTCTCCTTCTCCCCAATCACTAAATCCTTTTGTCATTGCTGCAGCAGAGCTGACATGAGTTCAATTTTACCTAGAGAAGGTTGAGGGAATATGTGCTGTAATATTGTCTATGCCATTTGATTGCAATAATTTCCCAGTCTGCATTTCCTAACACCTGTTAGTGTATGAATTCTACATGTCACATTAAAAATGTACCTTTGGTTGCTGTTTTAAAATGTTCAAAGCTAATGAAAAACCATGTATTAAATAATTGAAGCACTACTGGAAAGTAGATTATATGGGGAAAGTTCTGATTTAAATAAGACAATCACACAATTTCCCCCAAAGGATCTTTTTTTTCTCTTTGCTATGTCTACCACCCCACCTCACCTGCTACTGCCCTACCTTAGAATCCTACCAACTCTGTTTCCAGGAGATGAACACTCTAACTGCCACTAGCATTTGTGCTAACTGACTTGTTAACGGGAAGTGTTGCTGCATGCAAGCATTTATTAATTCATGCATGCATGCATTCATCCGACCCACCCAACTACCCATTCAACTATTCATCTCTTCCTCTTCCAGACAGGCCTGAGCTCTAAAAAGTAGGCAAATGTGGATTACTATAAGGAGTTTGGTGTGGCTGCAGCAGAGGGTGGAACAAGGGATGGGTGAAAACTGGACTATAAAAGGATATAGCATTCATCAACTACCATAATAAGAACAGTTAGACACACTCATGGCTTCATCTTCTATCCCTGTAGGCCTTGTCTGTAATTCCCCTGCCACATGAGCAGGCATTGCATATGTAACATGACAGTGCCTTCCAGGAGCTGTGTTCTCTCCTATTCTACTGTTCTCTGATATTTAATTTGGTACCTCTACAGACACACTGATTTACTCTCCCTGCTGGTTCTCTTTCCCTTCCATGTCTATATGACACTCTAAGACCTAGCAATGGGCATGTAATTCACTATTTGACCTCTGCTCAGCTATGTGGACAGATGATATGCAATGCTTCCTTCCTTCTTTTCCATTTTTGCCAGGATTCCAAGTTATGTTGTGTGTCCCTCTGCTGCTCAGTCTCTTGTTTCATCTTTCCCCATATGGTGTGACAGATCACTACAACAGACCATTATGGATGGGCCCCCATGTGGGAAGATGCCCTACTGAGGCAGATTAATGATTATTCTGGAGTAGTGCCACATTCTGTTTTTCAGGGGCCAAATCCGGATGCTACTGAGGAAGATTTTTTTTAAACCCATAGGCACTTAATTGTGCAATGTTATACTTCCCAATGCCAGCTGGTCATCAAATTATGAGATGAAACAAGATTTATAATCCTTGAAATTTCAGCTGAGGCTATGTTTTCACAGAGGCACTCCTTACCATATGGCCCATCCTTTTGCAAGTTTCCAAGAAACCCACCAGGGCATTGAGTCCCAAATGTTAATTTCATTTTGTCTGTTTACTTCCTGTTATAGCAAGAGATTAAATACAATGAAATACTTCCATTCATTATTTTTTTCTTTGAATCTATGTCCCCTTCAAATATAAGTGCTTCTCTCCATAAAATATGTGGTTATTCTTCCCAAAATGTTTTAGCATTTCTTACTGTTAATTTGTCTTTATACAGCTATTGCTCTTTAAGTATCATGTTTTCCCTGCCTATGATTACCTTCATTGTCTTCATTCTAGTTTACAGTAAGCATTTCCATGGTCACAATGTTTTTCCCACCCTCAATTCAAGGATTTTCACCAAAACAAAAATGCATAGGACATATTGTCTCTATATCGTTTCGCACAATGTCAGTAGAAAATGAATATATTATATATTTCTCCTCCAAGCCTCTCTGTACCTGTGTACCTAACTTAGGAACCAAAAGGTCTCATTCGAAATAACAGATCTCAGGTATTTAGAGGATGTTATATAAAAAATAAAACCCTTACTCAGCAGACTTTTAGATGCAAGCAGTCATCATGGATATCTGAAAGGAAATACTGAAAAGGAAAATAATGGTCTGCCTGGAGAAGAGCAAAATAGCCTCAACTGCAAAATGGCGAGTGCTGCCCACAGATATAACCGTGTAGAGCTGCAGGAACTCTTATTAAACCAAGAGATTTGAAAGGGGAGGACAAAAATGGGAAATTTAAGGTCAAAGTCATGGACAGTTAACTGAATAATTTATAAGACTGAAAGTGGAAAGTAAGTAAAAACACTACTTTCAATGTGATTTAAATTAGTTGATTTAATTATCTGAAAACTAAGTTTGGCATAAAAGGAACTATGTTCAGTATTAAAAAGACACAAAGAGAAGAAAGGAAAAAAGTTTACTGCTTCAAAAACCAAGGAGAAACTCTAGCCAGAATAGACAAGTAGAAGCAGAATTAACTACACCCCATTGACCATGTCCCAGTGGGCAGGTTCTAGAGAAAAGACAATATACATCAGGGGCATACATCTCCATTAAAAGTGCACACCAAAAAGCAAGACTGACTGGATTCAAATCCTGGCTCTGCTGTTTACTAGCTGGGTAATCTAGCCAAGTTATCTAATGTCTTCATGTCTCAGTTTCCTCATCTGTAAAATGAGAATAATAATGTATTTATTCAAAAACCTGTGAGAACTAAAGGGGAAAAAATAAACACACATACACACAGGCATGAATATTTTCTAAAACAGTTCCTGACACATGGGAAGCACTATAAAGGAATTTGTTGTTGTTGCTTTTGCTATAGGACAAAACCAAGAAACAAGAAGGAACTTTTATTATTTTGACCTTTGTAAGCCAATCAGTGTAGGGATAGCACTACTCGGAACAACTTTGACTGCATCTGGGGGATGAACAAAGGGAAGGGAGAAAGGAAAAAGAAGGATGCCTTAAAAATAATTTCTGAATAGTTCAACCTTTTTTCAGGGCTGAGTCCAACCAGATTAACTCAAGAATCTTTGTCCACATTCTTAATCCCTCAATTCCTTGAGCTATAAATTCATCTCACTTCATCTACTCAAGCACATACTTCTGCCATCCTTCTGGAAATCACCTAGGATATTTGCTGTTTATAATCAACTATTTTTTAAACCAGAGGAGGTCCCAGTTCTCTACCCTCTACTGAATTCACCCCCAATCATGCTAAGAGGCCAAGATTTTGGAAAGTAGAGATGGGTAGAAAAAAAACGAACCATGTGAAGGGAACAGCTCAAGCAAAAGCAGAAAAAAGGGAGACATGAGGGTAAATTCAGATAATATATTGACTAGAACACAAGTATATGTAAGAAATGTGAGAGAGATGGGATTAGGCAATTATGAGAAATGCCCAGTGAGAACATTGTACTTAACATGGGTGACAATACAATAGGGCATGGTAACCCACTGAAGAGAATATTCGACAGTGTTCACAGTGTAAAAGCAAAATGTTTAGGAATCCAAAGACCGGTTCTCTAGTCAGAAAACCTTGCTCATGTCACTTCTGTAGCCCTCAGTTTTCTTAATGTTTCCATTTTCAAAATATGTATGGAAGTTTTGCTATGTGCCAAGCACCATTATTGGCACTGAGGGACCGTGTTAAGGGAAAAAACATCTTCCTAGGTGCACGAGGGGCGTGGTTTCAAAGGCAATAGTTTCCCAGCTCCATGCCCCTATCTGGTACTGTAAAGTTATTCGTCTATATTTACCGTGAGCGGCTAGGTAGAGGAATCCAGGTGGGCTTCTTTGTCCAAAAAGCCCGTGGAAAACTCTGGGAGGAGGGGACTCTATTGTGAACGAAGCAGCCAATCCTGTATCGGAGTCAAAGATCAATCACTCCGGAGGAAGTTTGAAAGAACTCCTCTCATTGGACTAGAACATGAATGAACAGGGAATAACTCCAGGGTTAAAACTCTGCTGCTCCTTACCTATATGAATCTCCCCTCCAGATTCCCCTCCCACAACAGCGTGGAAGCTCGCTTGCTCGTGCGTACACTCTCTCTCTCTCTCTCTCTTTGCCTAATAAATTACTTTTTTTTGCAAGACTCTGTGAGTCCACGATATTTATTCCAACAGTAACCTCACTATGCCTCCTGGGCCTCTTTCCCCATTCTTCAGGGTGAGAGAGGCCAAGGACCACGGATTGGGGAATTGGGAGCGTCTTTGGGACCCCCGCTCCCTCCCCTGGCTACAGCACTCTATGGGACTCAAAATTAAGTAACAGCATTTATACAATTAAGAAGTCAAAACAAGAGACTTGTTTTGTTCATCCCAACTCTAACATGCCATAGCAATGTTTCACAATCCAGTTAATGAAGGATAGCCAAAAGTATTCACCAAATACTGTTGCATATAATCTATAGATTATTTAACCCTGAAGAATTTTGTTAAGATTCACTACCAGTGGCCTGGCAATCATTTTGCTTTTTCCAGGTGAATAAACAGGTAAAGAAAACTTGATAAAGAGTGATTGGTTGCCTTTACTGCCTGAGAAATTAATTGCATATGAGAATGAGAAAAAATGGAGATACAATTTAACAATAATCAGGACAGACATTATCTTGTCTAATTTCAATCAATTCTTGATTTATATAAATAGAGATTTAATTAGTTGGTTGATTAATTCTTTCTCAGTTTGTGTGTTTTTAAATGATTTGTGATTTTTTTTTTTAAGATGTCTTTCTCCTTTTAAGAATCCCTTGCAGGTTTACATACATATGGTGAGCATATGGCCTTCTCCTAATTGATTTAATTCAAAAGAGGACCCAGGGGAAAACTCTGAGCACTATCTGTTTGAGAGCTTTGGAGAATGTTTATTTCAGAGTGAAGGGTATAAGTGTGATACCATCAGAGCAGTGCAATTGAAACAGGCCAGGCATTACCCACACATGGTAGGAAGTATCAATAGTATTTTTCATTAGGATAATTTTAACTCAAAAATCTGTGAATTGGCAGAACAATTAAAAAATTCTGATGCTTATTTCAAGAATTTTTTTTTTTTTTTTTGATTCCTTACATGGACAACTTGTAAAACTGTCACTTTCCAGGTGAAATTGCCCTGCCTAATTCACCAGCACCACCCATTTAGAAATCAATTTGCCTACATTCCAGAATGAGCTTATGTTTGCCTAATGCATCCTCCACCTGACAGAGATAATTCTGTAGCTAAACTACTGCGGAAGACATGGTGCAACTGACTGCATTCCTTCCCTACAGACTGCTATAAATAAAGCCATGTGTCTATTGTCTGTTTGTTAAATCGTTCCTAAATGATAGCAATCCAGCTGCAACAAAAACAAAATCAAGTTGAGTTTACTTTTTTTTATCATCCTCTCTGGTTTGGCTCTAACATAAAGTCAAAACACTTGGTCATTAGCTTATGATGAGCTTATTGATGT